ACTGCCCTTAAGGAGATGACACTGGATTGCTCTGCTTTAGGTGTTAACTGCACTCTCTTTTCCTCACAGACCTTTTCCAAAGCAAACGAGGAGAAATCACTGTGCTAGAAGAGTGCAGCTCAACTACTGATGCTAATAATTTAATTCCATGCCCTGAGAAAATTTCTCTGTAAGCCAATACTCATGTGTATAATACATTTATATACCCTGCAAACACGCACTCTGCATATACATGTGCAAGCACATTTATTCATGACACAATGTATCATTCACTTATAAAATTTTCCTACATTAAATGGCAGCTTTTAATGAAAAAAAAAAACAAACCAACAAAAACGAATCCTTTTTAGACCATCAGCTGATCAGCAGTTGGCAAAAATGGTAATCTTGGCTCCAATCAAGTTACATGTTATACACTTTATTAGTAACATATAATGGTAAAGAATGATGCCACCCACATATACACACACGTACAGTATTGCAATCAGAGAATATTCATAAGGAATGTTTAATTTTATCTTGAAACAAGGAATGGGACACTAACAAAAAAAAAAATACTACCGCAAAAATCTTTGCTATCTTCATGAGAAGAACAAAGACATGAGCAGTAAATAACATGAGTCTTACATAGAAAGAATTCTCTTAGGATTTTTTTTTGCTGAATTCATTCTAGTTCATGCATGAACACCACTTCTCTCTCTTCACAGACTTCAGACCGAATGGTGGTGGTGGGGAAATCACACGGGATACAATAACTTCACTTGTGGTCTGTGAATCATTAGTAGCCTGTAACACTTAAGAAGGTGGTACATACACATACTGAAAGACAGCAACCGAAAAGGTCACATGTTGCCATTCACGCAGAAAAACTCAAGAGTTCACAGAATGGAAAACGAAAGCAATAAATGCCTATAGCTTAACCCAATTTCACTTGGTTGTAGATGCACAAGACAGTCTGTGGATTTCTCAAAAAGCATTTTTTCATTAGGCAACATGGGCTGGCAGCTCTAATTACACACTCCAGTGATTGTCTCTGAAACAACAGACTGTCTTGAACAAAAGAGATGACCCAGAGGATGAAGTTAGGAAAGCCCTATTAACCTGAAATGATTCGTATATATTCTTCCCACTTCTTCCCTTGTTCATTCTCCCTCATAAAAACATGAGCATTCAGCAGCAGAAAGAGATGTTACTAAAGACGAGCACCCACCTACAAAATAAATGCTCTGAAGGGCTTATCTACGAAGCTGAAGAAGAAAGCTGCCGATTGCAGCAATTCCAGACTATGTCTTACAGGTCTGATATTTTCACACTTGGACAACAGAAACAAGGGTTTTAAGGCCATGTAGGAATCCTAAATAAAAATGGGTCAATGTTCTCTGGCTCTCTCCCACTGAAGTTAGCAAACATTTAACATGGTCTGGAAGAAACAAAAAAAGACAGTGTTATTTTAAAGGCTAATTTCTGAATCTTGCACCTGAACGTTGGCAATTACATATGTTGGTGGGCCCCTGGGAACAGGGAGGCAGGCTCCTTGCCTACACTCACCTCTACATGAGCTCTCTTGCACCTCATTGAGTTCCCTTGAAGCACTTAAAAGCAAAGCATATTGAAAAGCAAAAGCTGATGCATGGGATTGATATGCCTCTCCTCGCTTGGTTTCCCACTCCATCCTCTCATAGTTGACAGGTAATTCCATTCATTAAACGATTACCTCTTTAAGCAGTTACGATTTTTAGCCTCCACCTCTGTTCTTACTGGATGGCTGAGCCAGAATCTCAAGGCTAAGAGAGTCAGAAACTATATTTCCAATTCCAGATGAATGTTTGATTAGGTTGATGTTGTTTGTTTAAAAACAAAAATCACAAGCAAAAAGACCAAAGCACCATCAACCTCAAACTTATTTCTGCCATGAGCTAGAACCTCAGTTTCTTGACAGACGGATGATAATATTATTGCATAACATACTGGTTTGTTCTTTATTTTGCTGCTGAGTCTTTTATTTAAATGCTTTATCATTGCCTGGAAATAGCTCACAGGTTTCCAACTTTCAAGCTCCTTTTAGAGATGGAGAATTAAATCCAGGATGTAATTAAGCCTTCATTATTAGGAATATTTTCTTTTCAGGGACCCAGCAGGGTTTTCAGTGTGCCAAAATCTTGTCTGGACCTTTTCAGAGGGTAGCCAAGTAATTTGGCAGAAAATAAAAAACACAAGGAGCTGGAAGAGCTCAAATATTTTTTCAATAATCAGCTGAACATAATTAAAGAAACTGGAAACTAGTAGTAAGGAAATAAATTAAAAAATAAATTTTCAAAAGGAAGAAAAAAGCTCAGTCTTTGAATTTGAACAATGTGCACTGGACATTTTGAAAGCATTCCAGATACTGCCAAAGACTTTCTACTAGACATTTGACAACAATTCCACAAAACTGCAAAGATATTATCTTGTTAAGATTTTGCAACAGTGGAAGTAAAAAGCAACCATGGGCCATGAACACAAATATTTACTGAATCTGTACCTTGCAGAAGAACGTATATATTTTGGTACATATTATTATCATTTTTCCAAAGGGAAAAACCACCCACAGATATCAAAAGGCAGGAACTTTCACTTTGCTCACTCAGGCTGAAAAGGTGTATATCCCTTGATGGGCAGCTTATATGTGGAGAAATCTTTTGGCTGCTGCAGCATCCTGTGAAGGTTCTTCCCCTATGCAGGCTAACTAAAACACCTGTGGCTCGTTACACTGGGAAAGTTGCCTTGAAACAGGTGCTGTAGCATTCAGCCAATCACTCTGGGAGATGGATGGTCAAGTGACCAATAGCCTTGACCCATCTAGCAAACCAAGTGACTCCTGACTATTTAAGGCAGGGCGTTTACTCCTAAGGGTAAGGCATTTTCTCCTGAGCCTTGGAGGAGTGTGGGCCCTCCTTAGAGTAGAGCCTAAAGCCTTTGCATTAGAACATTGGTCTGCTTGGAGCTGCCTGGAGCCTTCCAGCTGCGACACTTATATCACAGCACGTCGTAAAATTTAAATATCTGACACAATGAAAGCATCTTTACTTCTACTCCTATACTCTTGCCTACCATTTGAATAGCTGTGAGTTACTTTTCCTATATTCAGCTACCTCACCAGAGGCCTCTTCTCCTAGAGCTCGCTTCTTCAGGAGCAGCAAGGTGTGCCCATTTTCTCTCTGGCACTGGACCTGGCAAAGACAAATTGGCCCTTTTTGGAAAGGCGAGTGTTCCAGGCATGCCTATCCTATTCTGTTTTGTATATTGCCGTTCAGTCTTCCCATATCTGAAGCATTTATCATACAAAATGTTAAATCAATATCAAGTTTAGAGGCTAAGTTTAGAAAGCTAAATTTAAAGGGTCCTTTTTCTTTTTTCACTGTAGATTTAGAGAATCCTTTTATATAAAAAGAAAAACATTTAACAATACTTATCATACTGAAACACTATCTTGGAGTTTAAAAGTTTCCCGTACCCAACTGTAACAATCTGTGAAAAACTTCGAGTAGGATTCCTCCTTCTGGATGGCACTACATCTGTGGGAACTGAAAGAGACGGCTTCATTGATGGTACTGAACCTGCAGGCTCAACTCAAAGGCTGCTAAAGCTTAAATGTTTGCAAAAAATCCACTAACTCAGTTCTGACTTTTCCAGTAATATTAGGGCCTCAGTATTATCACAGTGCTATCAGTTCTGTAGGTGTATAGATAGAGCACAAGGCAAAGGAGAATATTTTCAGAAGCACTGCAGTGAGAAATCCACATCCCAAATTCAGATAAGTGTAATAACACAAGGTGAATGTTAATGAAGTCCACTCCTTTTGTAGCTAAGATGCATGATATAAACAGCAAACATTTCATCAGACAGTGAAACATCACTATTTTCCTTTCAGTCATCCTTACAGCTTTTAACGAACTGTGAAAAAACATGCTTTAAGAGCACAAAAATTTCACAAGACAAATGATACAATTCATCACGCACAGAAATAAATGCAAAAAAGGACAGAGACATTTTCTGATAATTCAGATATTCAGAGGAGGTTTAACACAAAATGGAATTTCTTCAGCAGCACTGATTAAACTCAAGATGAGGCAAGAATCTTCTTTACAACGTAAAGGCACCAGCTCTTTGTAAACATGTACTCCTCTCGCTTTAACTGAGAAAGCACTCAAACTATTCTGTGGAGGCAACCTGTGTGGTAGTGTTCCATTGCCTATAAATACTTCACAGTATAGATATCACAGGCCTTTCTCCTCCTTTTACTGTATGTAGTTAAGAAATGTTTTTTCTTCAGTTAATCTAGTGGAAAACTCTAAATCTCCCCAGAAATGTTACAATGAATCTGTAAGTGTTTTCTCTTATCTGCCCTTCTAATATCTATCAAGAAACTTCAAGGCAAAAGAAATATCAGATGCCAGTATTAAACACACATGTTTGCAGTCATCTCTTGTTTTCAGTATTGTGCTATAGGCAGTTCCCCAGAAGGGACCATTGGCTTATATTAAAAATACAGATACATTTAAAAAAAGAAACTTGTGAACATCCTCCAGCTGTGCAGCTACCTAATCTCCGATTTTTCAAATGCACTAGCAAAGACTGAACAAGAAATTAACTACCTCCCAATTCTTTGGGGAAAAGAAGATTAAATACCTCTGATCATGACGACTGTACTTCAGGATTCCAGATTTTTTTCAAGTATGCATCCTGAATGTACACGTCTCCCTAGCGTGAAGAGTATTCACACAGTTCTCTACTAATGAAATTGCGAAACTTGAAAACTGTTAAAATAAATATTCCATACAAAGGTGAATTGTTTGCATCTTGGACAAAATGAACTGAGCATCTTCATGGTTTCTACCGCACAACTATCACCAATATCACCAAACACATTTTACTACTCATACACATAAATCCAGTGATTACACTAATTAATATTGTTCCGTATCCAACCAAACTTGTGCGTTTCTAAGTCACTTTCAGTTTCATAAAGCTGACTGAATTTTTAATGTAGTATTTTCAGGTTCTACAGGGCTGTCCACTGGTACCTGGAGAAGGGGGGAAAAAAAAAAAAACAGAAATTAAGCTGTTATACCGCAGAAGCTATTCTTAGCCTCAGTATTCTTGAGTAATCATTAGGTCAGACTCCAACAGTATATGCAGTTAATTAGCCAAATTATAATTTTCTAGAAAGCCCTATTTTCCCTTCTTTCCGTAATTAAAAACAAAAAAAACATAGAATTCAGTTTCTTAGTAAAATTCCAAAATATATATTTACTGCATATAGATATTTCTCATATAGAGATTAACTCTCAGGTTTTTTTCTCCATTATGTTTAAACACAGTAGAATCTTGATGATCAAAGTTCAGAAATAAAGTGCTATTGTACCTTATTAACACAAGCAGCTCTCAGTTACTTATGGTAATATCAGGGCAAGGACTCCAGGCTTTTGTTACATCCTGGCTAATATAAATGAAGTCGTGAGACAATCTAGGCTAATTAACAAGGTGATAACAGAAAACAGAACAGTCATGGACCGCTGCCTATAGTCAGCACATACAGCCCCAAGATAGCCCCAACCCAGGCTGGTAAACCCACACAATGCTACACTGTGTGCACACACAGCTGCACAGGTTTCAGGTTCATATTAGCTCATATAGCACCAGCTTGGAAGATTCTGAACCCTAAGCAGACACTAATAGTGTGCACCTGATTGCATATGATCAAAAGCTGCCATGTATGCAAGACACCTACACATAAAAAGAGGCAAGGCAGAAGATCTTGCAATATCTGACTCCAAAAAGCTGGTTTATTATCTTGATACAAAAGATCGAAAAACCCACAGCAGTGAAAAAAGTTTCCAGTGTCAACCTTATTTCTACTAGTGATTGTGATAATTTGGAAAAGCTGCTGAAACATGGGTTTGGGACCTCCTGAACAGCAGAAAGTGCTTTGCTCACTCTTCATTTAAACTGAGAGAGTGCTCAGCAGAGGAATGGACCCAGCTCTTCATGCAGCACAGTATAGAAATGGCAACATGACTTCTGTTCACCAGACACTAACTTCACTTAAAGAGACTGCAAGTATCCTAAATAAAATATGTAGTCTATAGCACAGCCTCCTAACCCAATACACAAAAAGGCTTCACAATTTACAATACTACCTGCAAATATGAAAAAGTAAGATTCAAGCAATAAAATCAGAGATTAATATCAGCCACTTAAAATTCAGGAAAATCTGACAGCAGAAGGTCTTTTAGTTGTTTTCATGGGAGCTAAGGGGAGAAACAGATATCTGAGGGCAGCACTCCATATGGCTCTTTTGTTCCAAAACAGCATGGAAACAGTAATATTACAAATTTCTGTCAATTAATCTTTTGCTGTTAATATTATTATGCCAATAGAAGCCAAGCATTGAAGTACGGTAATACAATCACAACAAAAGAGTCACCACTTACAGCTTTAACATCCAAATTCATAATCCCTGAATTCACATTGTGTCTTCGCAAATCTGATTTTATTAAGGCTGAAACAAAAAAAAAAAAGAGAAAGCTGGTTTGCAACTTTGCAATGACATGCATTTCAAGGGAAATGTTTGCACAGCACAAGCACATGGAAGCTGCTCTCTGCACATATTCAAAATACCTGTCTTTGCTCTTTTGCAATTTGAACTTACTGATAAGTTGAACTCGCTCCTCACAAAACACATGCTGAAAATGACAATAAAAGCTTTTAAACCATGAGTACTTAAAGCAAAGTTTGATGGCTTTGGCACTTTCAGCACATTTCTAAGTACCAGCATGTGTTAAGTCACTGGTACAGTTTAGGAATACACCAGCAGTTTCTTGGCATTTGGAAAACTGTAACCTGTCTCCGTTTATGTATTTGTTTACATTTACCATCTTACTCTGGAGATACACATCTGCCTCAAATTCAAGACATGACTCAAGAAACAGGTGACATGGCTGTCCATATATTAGCAACCTCATCCTTAAAACAAAAGATGTGTGCACAGCAAGCATTTAAACTGGAAAACAAATTAAAAAAAACACAACCTCTGCGTGTATAACTTCTGTCCTCAGCCCAGACAGGAAGCCACATATTTAAATCCTAGATGTCCAAGACATTTAAAAATTACCCAGAAATTCACTATCTCAAAAAACCCCTCCACATTTTTACACTAAAGAGAAATCATCACTTACATTTCTGACTAATTACCTGTTAAGATAATGCCCACAAAAATCCAAGCACAAAGAAAGAGGTTTCCTGCACGAGGACTGTAGTCTGTTGTGAGTTTTCCTTGAACAAGTGTAAAGACAATTCCAAATATCTATAAACAAACAAGTCAGTTCAGCACGATCACACAGAAAAGAGTAATCACTTTACCTTACAAAGTTTCAGGTTATATCTTACAGAAACCAAATTTAAAAAATTAAGCCTACAGCAATACAACAGAGACTTAGCAGCAAAGTCTAGGAAAGCCTTCTTAGATCAAGCAGACTGGCCTTCCTGAACATTACTTCACTTGAAGGGATAAAATGATACAACACCTGTGCTGATGCATTAAGGAGACCTGAGGAAGTGCCTTCAGACTCTGGGTATGTAATTTCCACAGCAAATTCAAACCCAAGTGGGAGATAGCCAGTCATGAAGAACCTGTTGAAGAGGAGAGTAAGAAGATAACAGGTGTGGCCTTCATCTGTTACTACAGCTACGAAAATCAAACACAAGCACATGGTATTATGAATTAGCCAGTATTCTGAACTGTCTGTTTTCAAGACCTAACGTGATTCAATACTTGCTTTGCCTGCCTCATTCCCTTGACCTTGTCCAACAATTTTTGCCATACACCTCTCTTTTTAGGGCAAAGATGTTTTAAAGTATTTGTCCTGTTTCCCATAACCACCTGCACTCCACTCCATATGTATGAAACAACCTTCTCTGACCAGTCCACAAGCCACTCCATAACTGAAGCCAATTACTTTCAAATAAAAGACATAGGTGAACATCGTCATTTGATCAGCCCAAACATCCTTGCGGGAGGACAAAAAGAGACCCCCAGTAAGGAGTGAGGCTGGACACTGGAAGGGCTGCTAGAAGCTGCTGTGGAAGAAGCTGAGGGGACTGATGGGTGACAGAAGAGCACGGGCTTAATGTAGTTAAGATTGGTTGACTGATTTTTAGACTGAAACTCTCAAGACATTTCTGGTTCAACCTTGACTGCCATGTCTGGATACAGCACCATTCCCTCAGCATCTTTTTGAGCTTTTAGATTATGTATCTATAAGAAGAGCTCATGCTCTTCTGAGTGAACAAAGCACCCAGCATGTCGTTTCGACTATCAAAATATACATTAATCAAAACACACAAAAGTCAGTCTTCCTAGATTTGCTCAGTTAAACTCTAAACACTTATTGACTGGTTAACAGAAAGATTCAACTTTACTGCAGACAGCTTTTTGAATTGGAACAAAACATTGACCACATGACATTGTTAGATCCATAAAAACGTCAAATGAAATTCACTGAAAAGTGAGCTACTTTAGATTTATCCTGATGTAACAGAAGATGAAGCCCTAGTAAATCGTATCTGTACTGTGACCAATGGAAACAGGTTAAGAGCATGGCGACAGAAAATACAGTACAAGCATTTAGCTGAAACAGTTAAATATTGTTTCTGAACAGAACAGCAGCAAGTGTTCTAGTCCTCTTTAATGGCTCACCCAAGTACTCCTCCAGTCACGAACACTACTATAAGGTATCCGAGGTCCAGGGTGAAAGTAAATACCAGCAACCCAATGAAAGAGAGAATGTAAACAATCAAAGTAGTTTGCCTGCAACCCAATAACAACAAAAAATGAAATTAATACTGTTAACATAAGGTCATAGCATATTGCTGAAACATGGAAAAGTAACATAAACGTTCCTTAATCTCTTCTAACAACTGACACAAATTTCAGCTATGAAATTTGCTTCATGTAATTCTGACTCAAACATATCATGCAGTGAGAACATATCCCTTCCCAGACTCTTTATTGCCTTGATTATACGGCTGCTTCACTCAAGGCTAAGAGACTTGCTCAAACTCTCAAAGAGTGGACAATCACAACAGATACTGCTATCCCAAGACTTTTTAGTTCTCCACCATGTTGCACCTCTTGGCCATTCTGCAGCACTGACCATTATACAAAGATCAACATATGTGCAGTCAAACTGAACACTGTCAGCGACAAAAGTCAGCCTAAGAGGCAAGCCAAACAAGTTTCATTACAACGTTCTACTTATTTTAAATATGGAATAAGGGATGTCATCCAAAAATATTAAAGCATGTATCACTCATTTATAAGCCAAAACACATGCAGAAACAAAGCCAATCTACAGCATTAGCATCCATTAGGTTTCTAGAGCTCTCACACACAATGTACTAAGAGTCACCAGGGGAGAACTTTTCCACCACAAGCAGCACTCCAGGGCACTGCTCTCTCCTGGGGGCACACCATGGGTGATGGACCCAGGAGCTCCTACCCCAGAAGAGTTCTGCTCCATGGTCATCCCCTGAATTAAAGCAAATGTTATGCTTACTAATATGTGCACGAGTAGTACCAAAAAATGAGAATCCATCAACTATTGATTTTACAAAACAATGCAGAGCAGGTTTTGAGCCTTTATGCTTTCCCAGGAGAAGGAGCTCACTGGGCTACCTGGCTACTGTACATAGGACATAAAATGCTTTCCTTGTTAGCTCTACACTCCTGCAGAGACAGGAATAGATGGAAGACCCCTTTGCATCTTTGTGTTCTCCTCTCTCATTTATTTCGGCCAAGAACTAATAAGAGTCTCCAGCTTTTGCTGTAGCCTCAGAAACCTGTCTCCATCAAGGCTGCTAAAAGATCAGAGAAGAACTGCATTTTATCATCAGTTCACTTCAGCCCTCACGTTGCAGTATTTTTCTAATGCCGTTGCATCGCTCTTCTACCCTTAACCCCATCCATGCCTACCCACACTTACTTGTATGTTTTAGTGTAATCCAGCCACAAACCACAAATAATCGAACCCACCATTCCTGCCACCACCAGTGTCAAGCCAATTCTCCCAGCGTTCACTTCTTCTCCCTTTCAACAAATATTTATATGGTGCTCATTAATAACTTGCTTCCACTCAGAGTCAAATTCAGACCTCTCCACAGTCATAAGCGCAAACAAACATTCCTATGACTCCCATAGCTGTATGGTGCAAGAAACTGTAGGAAGGGATAAAGGAAACCAAAAGTCTGAGCGCAAATAGCACCTACATAATAACAAACATCACCTTTGCACATGTACAGTAAAAAAAAACAAACACCAAAAAAGCCAAAGAAGATCCAAGAAACTTACCTCATAATGAGTTACTATCATCTGGTTTAATAACGTGGAGACAGAATAAAATGCCCCAGTCATTATACCTGCAGTATCAAAAGAAAAGCTTCAGTCATTCCAGGTGCAGACACGCAGATCTGCTACCCTAAAGAGTTAATCTTCTGATATTTAAGACTCACATCAGAGGCAAAATCTTTTATCTGCCAAGTAAAATCTCTTCACCAGACCTACCAACAGTATTTTGAATCCTGTTGGATTTTCCAGCACTGGTTGCTGAATAAGTAAAAGTTTGACACTCCCTCCTCCATAAACAACCACCACCACAACTAAAACTCAGTGGGTTTTTGGTACACATTTGAATTGTTCTGCAAGACTACAACCAGACAGCATCACTTACCATAACTGATCAGCAAAAGTATGAATGGGATATTTTTGAACAAGTTAATAATTGACTGCTTGTAGGAGTAATCCTCAGGAGGTATAGTTTGCAGGACTGCTTGAGAGTGACTAGGAGGGTATTTGGGCTTTTCTTCAAACACTGAGGAAAGAGCAGAAGAAACAATTACGATTTGTCTTTACCAGACTAACGCTTCATCTTTTTGAAGTGTTTCAGTTTGATGAATTTCACAAGTTTAATTTGTGGTTTACAACACTTCCATAAAAAAAAAAAAAATTGTATATTTTCCTCATGGAAGAATCAAGTCACAGCCACCATGGATGGGCTAATTATTTGGTCATGTTTATTGCTATCAACATATGGTCAAACACAGACTTCATCTGCAATGCGTCTAGACCTTTCTATCTGAATTTTATGAATAACAGAGGGAAATCATATTATATCAGAATGTCCCTGGGGCTGGTAGCAAAAAGCCTAAGTGAGCAGCACATCCTGAGAAGGGTTGTTCCATACGAAGCATGATATACAATCAGTAAACTGGTTGTCACTTAATCCTGGCACATCGGATAAGGCAACACAAGTAAACCCGAGAAAATGTAACCTCGACTACTTTGAGCAAAATCAGATCCTTGAAGTGAGATGCTGTGAACATTCTGTCGTGGTTTAACCCACACTCTCTATGGGCATCATTTAAGTTACAAAACGGAACGCTTACCCACTCCTGTTAAGAAGAACAAAAGCGTGGACACTATCGCTGTTCCATAGAACATGATGCTGATGTTATGTGCCATTAGATTGATATCATTAGGTGTATTTGGAACCAAAACAGGTGGCAACAAAAAGCCAATTGCAGTGCCAAGCTGTAAAGCAAGAAAAGAAACCCAAAAATCATTTCCCTGTGAACATAAAAATTAACAGAAGTAAAACACTTTACCAGGTAGAATTCAGAGTTCGTATCATCATAAGTATTAATAAAACTATGAAGGAAAAGAGTTCCTTTAGTATTATACTTCTGAACGACTTGCTCTCAATGACATTTCACAATCAGGTCTTCAGTAAGTCAGGTTTTAACCTTTTCATTTCTAAATTAAACTACAATACTACACCTAGTATATAGCACATTTAACAACTAAGCATTCAGGAAGTTTTTTTGCAGAAGAATCTTTCACAGGAAAATACTATGCATGCACATAAATTTGTATTGGTCATTCCTGCAACTGAAGGCCTAGAGATGACAGAAGACTCCAGCTACACTTGTAGAAACACTCCTCTTTTTCTCCACCAAAACGCTCCACTTGATATCACAATCCTGCCACTGCAGTAATAAATATCGACACGCAAGGTTTATTGTAGAACTGACAGGGCAGAGAATAGCAAGAGAAAAGGAGCATCCTTATTAAGAAACACAAACCCAAAACCTATACCTGCGATTATTGCTAAGGAAATAAAGAAAAAACACAAAATAAATAGCAGTGGGTTTGTATCTGGAGTCGATTCGATTGCGGCAACTGATTTTGTATTAAAAGGAGGCAAAAAACAAGGACTGTAATTTGCATTTTAAAACATGAAAGAATAACAGTCTTAGACTACTCTGCAATTTATCTCTGCTGCTCTGCCTAAACTAAAATGCATTTTAAAGTGTTGGAACAATCTTCCTGGGTTTTTTTAGAGAAAAAAACTGCATCTATTTCAAGTAAAAAAAAAAAAAAATTGAAAAGAGCACCAAAGACTGCTAGAGTAGCAAGTCCAACACTCAGAAAGTACTCAAATTAAAGGTGTGCCAATGTGCTTACAAAGTGCTCTTTGTGCACATGCCCTATGAGTGTTTCCCTGCTTTTCTTTTTTTTCCCTCCAGACCATCAGATTTACACAATATCCAGTGATCATCTGGAGAATTTGTTTATTTTTATCCTCACCCTTTGTTATATGAACCCTACAAACATTAGCTGAGTATATAGTTACTCTTTTCTATAAGGTATGTTTTTTTCCTCTCCCAGTGAGTCAATACAGTACTCACAATATTCCCAGAAAGCCAAGTGATACCATTTTTCGCCTTTTACAGGTAAAAGAGGTTAAGGCCAGAAGGATCAAGAGTTCTAGTGAGTCTAGTGTGACCAGTTTGAGATGCTAAATACCAGTGGAAATCCAGCACTCGTCACAACCCCTGACAGGTATACCGCTGTCTTCCCAGTGTCTTGTGTTTCAATTGCAAACGATCAGCATCTCAAGAGATAACGGGTGTAATGTGATTTTTAATAACTACTCTATCCCTCCCTGTCTACAGTCCCCAGCCCCTTTTGCTGTAGCTCTGAAGTTATGCAGACCATCTGATAAGAAATTGGATGACCAACAGCCCAGTTCCTTATAGCAACCCCATTCTGTTACATAGTTCACCTTAAAGCACAGTGAGACTGTACCGTAATGCATATGCAGAAGCAAACTGCACGGGGCTACACAGACAACATTACTTCTAACTTCCAAGTGCTTCATTTGTCATTTCCCTACTCTTTCACTCCAGCTCTTGAGAGGTTGTTGTTTTAAGAAAGCAAAAATTAAGAACAGAGAAATTACATATTTTGACACTGCATCAGTCTTCCTGGGTCACAAGCAGCACTGGGATCCGAAGACCTACCCAGCACGCACAGCTCTGAGACAGCGGGGTACAGCGTAGCTGCAGAAGAAGCCATTATCCTCTGCGTAGGACTGCCAGAGGGAAATGCCACTCACTCTGTCTGTGCGTTTCACAGGTATTTCCCAGGTAGGTGGCAGAGGACCACCAAGCACGCTCAGATCAGTCCTAGCTTCTGCAGGAAAATATGCTCCAGAAATAACTAAGGTCTTTTGTTCACACCTCTGCTCCCATTTTCCTCGTCCATCCTTCTCATAGTTCCTAGCCACAAAACCCCTGTCCTTCCCCGCTTCAACCTCCACAACTCGGCATCCAAGCAAAGCATTCATTCCAGGCTCCCAGACAAATCCTTGGTACTGTACTGCAGAACTGAAATCCCAGTAACTCCTTGCTACTGGGAGGACTGCTGCGTGTCAGGAAGAGTGGAAATTTAGCTGCCAAAAGAAACCTCTAACATGATTCCAGGACACATGCAAAATTTTTGCTCAGCTGCTGAGACAACCAACCAACAACCGCCAAAGCCTTCAGTCCAAAAGGGACAGGTGACTTGCCCACTGGAAGACTTTCATGCCAAAAAAGTGAGTTTGGATAAGCATTGGGAAAACAGTTAACAGCCAGGTATGAGATAACGAGCAATCCTAACTGTAAATATGTAACATTAACACTAACGCTGTAATAATAATCCAAAGTGCACAAACATAAAATCATTAGATTCACATGAGGAAAAACAAATTCCTCGTTACCTTAATCAAACCATACCTACGACCTCAGCCTGTGCCAGTGGTGCTGATGGGAATCCTAACATTTTCTTGCCACAAAAAAGCGGGGACAATGGCAGGGGGCGAGAACAAGACTATGGGAAGAAAAAAAACGTCAGCATCGTATCTTCACCCATGCTTTCAGATACACCTGTTACAGCTCTCTGAAGCTGGCCAGGACCAGGGAGCTCGAGGAAATCCATGACTCTGTTATCAGCTCCCTACAGTGATGTGAACTATCAAAACGTAACAGAAAACTTCATGAGTCACGAGTCACCAGGGCATTGACTACTGACACGTAGTGATTCAAGGCCACATTTTAGAAAGCAGGAACCAATACACGTTGGCACTGTGGCTTTCCATGAAAGCTCACGTTACTTCACCTCCCTTCACCCAGGGGCGGATTCAGTCAGACGAATGATGCCAAACGCAAGAGACAACATGTCAAATGCAAGAGGAAGAGACAGTGGAGCAGGACAGCTCCTGAAAAGGGTCTCAAGTGATGTACTTCTGGCAGCTGACAGAAGCGTGCAAGCGCTGTGCACTGCCACACAGCCAGGGTCCTGTAAAGCAAGGCTGGCCAGCAAGGGTGGGACAGAACATCATCTCCGCACTCACCTCCGCTCCGCCACTTTTCCTCTCACTGATGCTGCCCCATAACCATTTCTCAAAGAATGGGTTGTCTCACTTAAACCGACTATTCTTAAAACCAATGCCATACCAAACTCTAAGGAACCCCACTCCTCCAAAGCCTCCCTTGCCCCGCTCCGCCCCTACCTGGTTGCCCAGCACAGCCACGGCACAGGCGGTGGAGACCTCGGTGGGGCCGAACCAGACGGAGGCGATGCGCGAGGGCAGCCCCAGGATGAAAACCTGGGCGAC